ATCCTGTTGTTGAAAACAAAATTCATACCCCAAACAAGTACAGGTATAATGTTTTATTAATTTGATTTAAAATATATCTTGGTAATGTTTATCATCTACAGGTAAATTGTTGCTTTGGATCGCTAAAAAACCGAATACATTAATAGTGCTAATCAGGTCCATCGTTGGTTTGAAAAATAATGTGATTCAGATATAGACCGTTTCAGAGAAGAACACTAACCAACTTAAACACATGACTCTGAAGCTAATACAAGCGTTGACCCTCAAACACAGTTAATTTGTCCCACTCACAAAGAAGTAATCAATACACTTCAGAAGTGATAAATAAAGTTTCTGATCATAAATAATTTAGATGCCTCCTTCTGGCTCTCATGCATGACAAAAGCAACTTTGTTGCTGTTTAATACAGAAAGATTGATTGATTTGCGCCCTCTCAGAAGTTAGAGTACTTGACCACAATTTTACTGTCTTCATTGACTATGTGTGTTCAGCAAATCCTATAATAAAGACAAACAAAAGGAAAACTAAAACACTGTTTAAAAAATAACAACACTTAGTAGCCTAAACGGAGGACAAAAAAATGCCAGTAGGTATTTTCCCATTGATGCAACAATTATTTGTAGCTTATGTAAGGGAAAAGTACAAAAATTATTCGACTCTCTTCAGTGCCTTCGAATACAAGCTGCGAGGAGAGACGTGAGGCGATTGTATGTAATTTAGTAGTTTAATTTCAACATTAAAAGATGAGCGAAATTAACATACTGCTTTACGAACAATTAGCAAGGTTAATCTGGGATATTACTTGAGCGAAACAGTTGTCAACACAAACTAGTCTGTCGATTGGAACTTTACACACCGTGTGCGCACACTTGCTCGGCGCGAATGTAGTTAGTTTGAGCCATTTCAATAGAAATTTATGGCTGAAAAATAACAGCATTCACTCTGTAACCATGCCTATGCCACAATTCCATCCTTAAAACATCTGTCACTCGTAGTTAAGAATAGAAACGAGAAGAAACCTTCATAACAAAGGCGTCCCAAAACAGTCTCAAAGACAAGACAAATAACACAAAACAACAACAAGAAGTGCCTACCTCGAAGGTTCAAGTGTGGCTTTGAAGGATCGCCATCGGCGTAAGACAACAAACGAAAGGAAAAACACACCAAAAATTAAAGTACCACTAAAAAATCCGAAAAAGAACAACATGCAGGCAAAGAAACCCTACATTTCCACTGGTTTGAACCACATTTTCGCCATCGTTTCGTCACAAATTTCCACTGTGATGGAACCATCCAACGCCATCTTGAAGCACGAACCAACCAATCGGCGATAAGAAATCAGCCCACGTGACATAAGTTTCCTATCCAGTCTTTCTATATCCATGATCTATTTAACCGTAAAGTCCCAGTAATCGCGTCAATATTCTGAGAAACGTAACGCCTCAATATACCACAAAACAGGACTTCCCCGCTATAATATTTTTTCACATCCTCTATTATCGACGGTCGAGTATTCTTCAGGGTATTTACTTTTTAATACGCGTGTATATTTACAAAAAAATCAAGGGCCTCAATTCGAGGAAAATGACATCATTGCCAAACATCCAAAATGTGGTCAACTTTGTGCGTCATTTCAGTCGTCGTCGAAAATAAACCGCATGCTTATCACGAGACTCATGGTCTATTCTTATCCCCAGTTTTTACGGTCGCCGCTAGGAACGCCTGGGACCATGATCCACCATTTGGCGAGGACACACGAAAAAAAAAAGAAAAAGAAACGCCTGCATTTCTAGAGTCTCGTAGCTAAAGCAAGCTCGACTAAAAAGAAGCTAAAAGAGGAAAAAGAAAAGAAAGATCTTATTTTTGTGTATCAGAAATTAGTTAAACAAAATAAGAAATTGAAAAACGACTAGATCAAGTTAAACCAAAGAAACAAAAAGAGCCAAAAACATTTGATGATTATTTAATTTCAAGGATGTATTAAACTAAAAAGATTCCGAAAGATACACCAAAATATTTAAGAAAAGCACTTAAAAGAGCAATGAAAGAATATGATGTTGGAGTCAAACATGAAAAGTCAGCTCTTGAGAAGTTTGCTGACAAATACTGATGTAATTGAGGGAAACCAGGAGTTGTACGATTAGGATATTTTAAAGATAATTATCTGCTCAGCTCAAGGATTTTATGAGAAATCATGGAAGCATAAAAATTCGTATGATAATGGTAATTTCAATGAAAAAAAAAGATTATCGAGAAAAAAGGAATAATATCACATTCAGGAGGAAGCTTATTTTTATTCTGAAACATATACTGAAGAATCTTGAAAAGACAGACATAACTGAAGATTTTCAGTTCTCCCATAATGGATAAACATTGGGAATATTTCACGATCTTCTACTATGGTTCTACTATGGCTAATTTTCATAACCCTATACGTAGATGACGGCCACTAGAACTTGGCATTCAAAGTTAGCAAACAAACACTAAAGAAGACTATCAAAATGTGATCGTGTTCCCGACGTTAATAAACGTGTAAATTTACTCCATTCAAAATTTCAGGTTTATATTCACAAATGATGAGGGAGAAGAGACGGAAATCGCATTTGGCAAAGATTCAAGTGAGGAACTCATAGTCGGTCAATCTGCTACCCAGCTTCCTCAGCAATACACAATTGAAACAGAAACTAGAAGGTATCACCTTATTGACACCCCGGGCATTGGGGATAGCAGGGGCATTAACAAAGACAAGGAGAACCTCGACAACATTTTGGCCTTTCTGACCTGTTATGAGAAGATTAATGCAGTGGTTGTACTTCTCAAGCCAAACAACCCAATACTGACCGTGGGCTTCAAGTTTTGTATCTTAGAGCTTTTGACCCACCTCCACAAGTCTTTGGAGTCCAACATCATCTTTGCCTTCACAAACTCCAGGGGAAGCTTCTACAGACCCGGAGACACCCTTCCTGTTCTCAAAAGGCTCCTAAAGGAGAATAACATCAACATCCTACTTTCTCCAAAAACCTATTTTTGCTTTGACTGTGAAGCATTCAGGTATTTTTTACATTTATTTAGAGACATTCTCAGACAAAGACATGTTAACCCAGTTGTCAACATGATACCGTAATTGTTTTAGGCTTGTTATTAACTGAAAATTCAACCAGATAAACTAATTCATTCCGAGAGTTCATGGAGACACAGGGTGAATTCATTTAAAGCATAACGCATAATGCCCATTTTTACATTACCCATAAAACACCTTGGTTATCCCCCCCCACATTTATTTTACTTTTTTAGGCTCAAAAAACAATGAAAAAGTCCAGCGGCAAATGCGACGACCATTCGCATATGCTGCAAATGAATCCACCCAAAGCCATTACATAATTTATTGAAACCACCCTGGAGGCTATTGAGCCTGGCAAAAATTTGTGCTAGTTTATGTTCATGTGTTGGCACGTCTTGTATAGCCTGTTAACTCCAATTATTCCTCTTACATGTATTATATAAATTATTAAACGCCAAATTGAATGAAATACCAGTTGAGCTTTCGCGCGAAAACAAGATATCTTCACATGTACTTCCAACATAAATACATTATACTTTATTTGTCCCAAAAGGGTTTTATAGGATAAAGGTACAATTAATAATAATTATTATTCATTCAAAATATTTCCCCAATTCTGATTGGCTAAAAGCACACGCATAATTCACCAAAACCAGTTACTGATGACCAAATTTGGAAGAATTTTGTGTTTAACGAGGAAATGACGTCAAAAATGCAGCCTTCTACAAGTTAATGCACCGTAAACCGAGAAGACCCGGGGACAAGATTGAGTTGTTTTCGTTGTGAAAACTAAAATGGCGGACACTTCATTCGTTTCAAGAGTAGGAACTACAGCTGAAACTAGGCGAAATAATGGCTAAAAGCATAGCAAAAACAGCAAGAAGACAACTCGGAGGGCGACATCTGCAATTTGGAGAATATTTGCGGAGCTGGACAAACCTAAACGAACACTATCGAAGAAAAACTTAACATCGATGCAGGTAAGCTTGTTTCAGCTATGTTTTTAAACTAGCAATTATTTTGACTGAATAATAAGGCAATTAATGAATTCGGCTTCCGTAGGATATGAAGAATTAAGCATATCTCGGAGGGTGTTATCCACCTCGGCCTTCGGTCTCTGTGGATAACACCCTCCTCGATCTGCTTAATTCTTCATATCCTACGAAAGCCGAACTCATTAATGGCTAATTATTATTCATTAAAAATATTTCCCCGATTCTGATTGGCTAAAAGCACACGTTTAATTCACCATAACCAGTTACTGATGACCAAATTTGGAATAATTTTGACTTTAACCAGGAAATGAGGTCAAAAATGCAGCGTTTTCGCACGTTAAGGCACCGTTAACCGAGAAGACCTGGGGACGAGGTTGAGTTGTTTTGGTTGTGAACTTGAAAAAATGGTGGACATTTCAGTCGTTTCAAGAGTAAGAACTAGGCGAAAAAATAGCTAAAAACATGGCAAGAACAGCAAGAAGACAACTCGAAGAGCGACATCTGCTGTTTGGAGAATATTTGCGGAGCTGGACAAACCTAAACGTACACTATCGAAGATGAACTGAACATCGATGGATCGATGGAGGTAAGCATGTTTTAGCTATATTTTTAAAGTAGGAATTATTTTGAATGAATAATAAAACAGTTATTAAATTCGGCTTTCGTATCATATGAAGAATTATGGAGATCTCGAAGGGTGTTATCCGCCTCGGCATACGGCCTCGACGGATAACACCCTCCTCGATCTCCATAATTCTTCATAAGACACTCAGCCTCATTCATTAACTGTTAAATATCTATTACAAACAGAGCCTAATGAACAACGAAGGTTACTAACTTAAACTAGTAAAAACTATATACACTGAAATCTGGTTAAAAAAAACGTCTAAGATTAGTTTTTAAAAAGACAACGCTTGAAGTCCCTTAAGCAGGGGTCTCGGCGTCTTTGCGAGTCTTGGATTTACCATTCGCCACCCCTTACATCATAAATTGTGTATATTTGCCTATCGCACAAACTGTGTTTAGTGATTAAACAATCATTTTTATGTAGCACCTTTTCTTCCATTCAAGTTCCTATCCACGCGCGGAAGTGAAAGGGTAAAACCGTTTTTATCGTTCTTTGCATTGATAGGTTTCTAGCCTGCCATAAGAAACTGAAAGTTGCAGTCTCAGGCGAAGAGTATAAACTCTACGAAAGCAGCTGGAAAAAGTCACGCGAAGCAACTGAAAAGCTTTTTGAACTCATTAAAGACATGCCACCTCACGAGACTAAAAAGACCCTGAGCATGAACGAGGCAAGGAACTTCATTATCGCCATGAGCAAACCAATGGCTCAAGCTGTTGAGCTTATCTACAGAAACTCAAAGGAAATCGAAAAAAACGAAAACCTATGCAAGGCAAGCGACGATGAAATCCAGAAGTTTCAGGAGACACTTAAGTTCAAAGGCTTTACACGGGAGAGAAACCATCTCCAGTTTCCCATAACTGTTTGTACTCACAAAGATTGCACGGAGTACAAACTTATTGGAAAGTCGAAGCAGCAGGAAACAATATTTAAACAGATCTGCCACGAACGTTGCTACCTTAAAGGAATCCCAAGTGAAACCACTAACAACCCACAAATTTATAACTGTCGAGCCATGGTTAAGGGAAGATGCAAGCATTGTAAGCACGACTATAGAGATCACATGCATATGACCTACACTACTTCTCTTGTCGAGGCGATATTCTTGTCAGATGATGTACAGAAAAAGATCAACAAATTAGCAGACGTGAAGGATATGAAGGAAAAATTCATAGCCGAGCTGGAGAAAAGCAGTGAGGAGTATGAAGAAGAGAAGGAGGTCCTTTATAGGTGTGCCAGCCACTTTGGTGCATTTCTCAAGAAGAATGCCATGATTCCCTACAACGATTCCTTCAGCGACTACCTTGACATGCTGATCCAGGTCGAACAGAACCAGAAAGACGGGGATAAAGACAAGATGAATCAGCTAAAGGAGGACAAGCGGACATATGAGATCAAAAAGAAAGCTATCATCGAGCAAACCTCGAGTCCCGCGCACAGCGAAGAAAACGACATTCAGATAGAAAAGATCTATGAAATGAGAAACCAGCTCTGCTCTCTGAAACACAATGGCGAGGATCTCAAGAAAATCCTAGGTACTGTAAATTTCAGCAAATAATCCAAGTTTCTAAGTTCGTTACCATGTCCAAAAATACACGCTAATGCGATCCATCCCCTTTGATGACAGACATCACCAAGTGCCCCCTAGCCCTAATACTCACTTCGTGCATACGCCTGCGTAGTTGTGTAGGATCAGAAAAAAAGAAAAGGAAAAAAAAAGGAGCGTAAAAACTTTTCAAAGACTGTTATTTAAAATGAAAAACGTTGCGTTGGCTACTTACGTGCGTTTATGTGCTATTTCCGGCCTTGGGCCTTGGTAGCTCAGCCCAGAAAAATAAAACAAAACAAAACAAAATGGCCGCGGCAGTCGACAAGCGCTTGTTTCTTCTACTCTACAAGTTGCAAAGAAGGAAGACAAGGCAAAAATATAAAAAGTAGTAATTGGTACATGAAATTTTTCAAACTCTGTTATTATTTCTTAATGATTGTCACATGCTTGTAAAAGAGATGAGAGAAAATGACCCCGAGTCCTTCTTCTACAAATACTTTAGAATGACCCCGGAACAGTTCTACCACCTTCTTTTCCTCGTAGGCCTGTTGCTGACGGTGAATTTGCCCCATCTCCAAGCGTGTGGGGCCCAAACATATGGCAAAGCTATCATATGACAAAATCCAGATATATGAATGGTCGAATATTGCAGAAAACAAAAAGGTCACATAAAATTTGAAAACTATTCAACTTTTTCGTAGGCGCTTGCGACTAATACGTACATTTACGTTTACGCCGTAACAAGAAGAACGGCGGTTCGTTTACATGTTTACCCAAAAACGCGTATAGAGAAAATCCACCAAGTACTCAAGATTACAATACAACCAATTGTGGAAGAGTAATGCTGCTTCTGTCGTGCGTGTTTTTTTGTTTTGTTTTTGTTTTTGTTTTTTTTTTTTAATAAAGTTAAGATTTGGCTAATTTATGACGAACCTCTATTGAGCGGCCAACCTCCTTTAAGCTGTCCTAGCGCGTACTCCGAGTGTGGCCGGTTAATAGAAGTTCAAATGTATTTGCATTTCTGGACACAAGTGGAGAGTTCTTAGTGATGTTATAGGGCAGGTTTGGTTGTTTTCAGTTCTCGACTTTGTTGCTTAAATTAAATCAGGTCCGTTGAATTCCAATGTAATTTTAAAGTGGCCTTCAATAGTTCAAGCTATGAACGTTGACTAATATGAACGTTGTAGACCCTCTGATGACTCTGGTAACGCAACCCTGCTTACTAAGCTAATACAAAACATGACTATTTCTTTGTAGATGACATCATGTACTCTAGACAAGTAGCACTACGAATGGAAAGGTAAAGTTAATTATAGGATGTGTTAAAGATGTGTATACTCAGTAGGAATAGAAAAGACACAGGGAAAAATGGCGGCTCTACACTGCTAATTCAGCCGTCTCTCTTCGTCTCGTACCGTTAGGGACGTTTCGCGGATTAATCGTCCCGAGCGCTGATAGGAGAGGAGAGACGCTTGCATGTCTTTGCGCGCAGGCTATAACGAGCCCCAGCTATGAAGAACAAAAACAAATGGCCCCACGTGAGGAGTCTGGATTGCGGAATCGGAGAAATTTTTGCTTGTGGAATACGGAATTCTGGGCTTCCGGAATACCGCTCAAAGAATCTGGATCCCACCAACGATTGGAATCTGGGATCCACGTTCCACGGACAAATAATTCGATATCCAGTACCTGGAATCCAGAATCCACGGCGTGAAATCTAGAATCCAAGACTGTCTCGGACTCCCTTACATTGGGCGCCGCCCCTGTTACAAATCTTCTTTCTGTTTTACAACTTAAAGTGAAAAAAAAATCATTCATGGTTAGTTGATAGATGCTGACATAGCTCATGAAAGCCTGACTGGCATGGGTCCTTTATAACTGAGATCGTCAGGAGTTTTGATCTTTAAGGCTTCTAATCAATTTGAAAAAAACTCACCAGAAATTTTATAATTACAGAAAGAACACCCACATCAAAGTCACAAGCACAGTCTTTAGGGAAAAGGCCAAGAGCGTAAAAAAGTAGTGTTAGCGGTTTTATCCAAAAGTTGCCGAATCCATTCAGTTCCAGGACACCATCATCATCATCAACAGCAGCTGCTGCACAACCCAAAGCCGTGTAAACCTCTCATTTTACTGGACTGTTAACTTGCGGGTTTGTTTGCATTTATACATATGATTACTTCCGTCCTTATCCTTTATATCGATCACTTAAATCCTTCAGATTTAAAGTAGATAATTAGAGTTACGCTATACAGTCAACTCCCGTTAGTGTCTGCCATTATCAGCAAACGCTCGAAACAGCTAGGTACGGGAAGAAATTCTCTTGTAAACACTTCCATTAGGGTTGTAATATGCGAAAAAGTTATTTTATGAATTAAAATATATGAAATCAATGATATTTTGAACTGCGGATAAAGATATTAAAGTACTGTAAACATGATCTTCGCAGGTTGTTCATTCTACTGCGAAAATCATGTTCAGTAATTTTGGTTGATAGGGAACAAGGTTAGCGCTAGAAGTCTCAGTATAGCTTGTTTCTCAAAGAGAAAGGCAATAATGCGAGATAGAAGCTAGGAAGTATGCTTTCATGCCTTTATAACGAAAGTTAGAACACCGGGAGAAGAGTGACATGTACTGTTTAAAAAACGAGCAGGAGAGTATTATCTTCGCCTCGAGTTTTTAAACCTGATAATACACGACTGCGAGTTTTTTGAACTGCTTCAAATTCTCTGATGTAGACCAACTCTTGCACTAATATTTAGATTTGAGGTTACTTTAGTCTAAAACACTGGACGTAAAGTTTAGCCGTGTCTTTATCAGATATAAAGACACTCATTAAACATTAATTTCTTTCGTTTTTTCTTTATAGCAAAAAAGTTCGAGTTATCGGGAGTTCGAGTTTCAAGGGTAAAATTGAGTAGAAAACGACCTGAAGGGAAATGAACATTGCTTCGAGTCAGCGAGAGGTTCGAGTTACTAGTAGTCGACTGTAGTATTTTTTCGTAAAAAGTCGTCACTTAGTAAGAGCTTTGTTTACTTTCTTTCAGTTTTGAAGCGCTTTTCTATAATTTGTTGCAAATTCAGAAATAACTCTATCTTCAGTATACAAAGTGGGCATAACAGCTACTTGATTTATTGGTAAATTTTCAAAAATGTCGTGAAACGAGACGCTATTTTGTTTTGGCTTCCATCCAATCTTCAGGGCTAAAATAATATTCCTAGTTAGGGAAGCCGATCAAGATGCGCGAAATTACTATCCATTTAATGATTTGGTAAGTTCTACTTCCGTATTCACTTTCATATTTCCTTAACTAAAGGGATTTGTGCGTCAAAATTATTATAAGTGAAAGTGTGATATATATTTTTATGTAGTCAACTTTTTAAGATTTTGTTTATTATTATTATTGATTTTATATTTTTATTTTATCATTTGCCTTTTTACGGTGTTCCGAGTGTTAAAAGTGTTTACCCTTCTTAGCGACAGATTACGGTATATTTATGTGTGTAATCAAAGGGTGACGAGTGAAGAGTGAAATTAGTGTTCTTAATACCTCCAGTTGTTCTAGGGAGCTTTATAATTAGCAGCGACTACGTTTATACGGCGACGGCAACGTCACTATTAAAAAGTATTCTTACTCGTCTCTTCAAACTTTGTCGCGATTGTTTCAATTCGCTTGAAATGCCAAATGTAGGTGAATTTCCCATGAAGTTGAATTCTTGGGGATCACACCCAAGTTTAGACAGAGAAAGAAAAATTCGTCGCCCGGTGTGCTAACGTCCTCCATAAAAGAGGGCGTGAATGGGGTTAACCGACTAGCGACAAAGGGCAAAAAATATTACCAACTACCGACAAAATGTGAAAAAAATTACGGACTGCCGACAGGAAAAATATTAACCGACTACCGACATGGACCGACATTATCTATTTTTTTTCAGAAAGAATAGTATATTGTATCTTTTTTACCTTTCTAGGAAGTAACGAAAGATACCACGTCACAAGTCTTGTTACAAATGCAGATCGTATGAAAATTTCTACAAAGCAACCCGCCTAGTCCTACACATTACCTGCGAGAAATGCTTAGTTTAATCCTCAAAGAAAATATTCTTTCCAGTTCAATGGAAAGCTCTACCTACAAACCCATGGTACTGCATGCGATGGGCACAAAGACAGCAGTTTCCTATGCAAAGTCTAAGCAAAACTGTCTTTAAACCAGACATCGTAACTTTCTTCGAAAAAGCAAACTTACATCATCCTACTAATAAATTCGCCACAGAAATTCGCTGAGACAATATTTTTAGACACAGCTGTATACAAAGGCACAAGATTCAACGAAAAAGTTATCCTTGATGTACTGAGACTACGGAAACCTTCCAGCACACATTTTGCCCTTTGTCACCCACTGATTTGTCAAAGGAGTTTGCGAAGTGTTTCATATTTCAAAAGAACGCTTGATGGACAGAGGCTACCAACACAATTTGAAAGAAAAATTGCTATCAGAAATAAATGAAACTCACAGAGACTGAAGTCCGCGCTCCTGAAACAAAACAGCGAGGAAGAAAAAGAAATGCTGCCTTTCGTGACACAATACCAGTCCTCAGTGTCTACTATAAGAGAAGCTTTAATGAAAAAGTGGAATCTCATACAAAACCAACCGCTTTTAAAGAACCACCCTTTATTTCCTACAAGAAAGGAAAACCACGGCAAAGAACATGCTTGTTAGAACCAAAATGTTAAAGGTCAACGCACAGTTTCACGCCGGTATAGATGTCATGAGATGTGCATCCTGCAAATCACCCCTTTCAGTTTTTCACCAAAAATAATTTACGTATCGAAAAGGCTACAATGGGCCTTTCCCTCTGTGTCCAATTAACCTCTCTTCATTACTTTTTAAAGTTCGCATTTGCAATAAAAGCTTTGGTGATTTTATCGGTACTATATTGGCAAACAAAGGTGAAATAAATTATCATGTTACAGTTTAAGTTCAATCAAATGATGCATTTTTACAAGT